AGACATAGGTTCATCTTGTTTTCGGTGAGAAAGTATCAGTTCCTTATTGAGTAATCTCTGACAGAGGAGGAGGAAGAGAAACATAATTTCAAATTTGGTATTAATCTTAGTAATAGGTATAGAGCTAAACCCAGTGACTTCAACGAGGTGATCATGTACAGAATGATAACTATTGATTTGTCACCAGCGTGAGAAAAAGTCAATGAAAATACTTCTAGCCCCAAACCTTCTTATTTTTGCATTCGAACAATCCGCTACCCCGGCCACAAACAGCTCGCAATTCAGTTAGGGTATATGCCAGCTTTATAAAATGACAGCATCCGTAATACAGACAGGATCAGAAATGTCAAAAGCCCCCTGTGCGTAAATAGACTAAGACAGATGCTCTCGACCAAAGTACAAAAAGAGGAAAGGGAAAAAAGCCCCAAAAGGTATGAGACGACGATCCGGCACAAAAAAAAATACCATCCCTCTTTTTTTACGATCGTGCTTCGTCACTGAAAGGTTACGTTTCATGACCTTCGTCAGGTTCATGGCTTTGTACTCTCAGCGTGGTTAAAAGTTTCATACGCCGATCCGAAACTGCACCTTAACTACGTTAAATTCGTATCAGTTTTCACTGAAACTTCATTATTGTCTACCTTGTTGATTGCAGTTTCGATATTTAAAGGCAATAGCAAGATTCTCTAGTATATCATCCGAAGAACTTTATGATATCAATGCAAAATAGATGAAATTTTGTTATGAATCTAATTTACCATCGCAAACGTTTTTTTTTTTTTAAGACTTGTTTTGGTATGATCGGTAATCACTGTAATTAATGGCGCTTTTACTAAGTTGATTACAAATGCTCCCTCTTCCAAAATGTCGTTTATGGACCTATTGAACAACTCATACCATGATTTTTGACTTACCACTTAGATATGTTGTTTCACGAGTTCAACCACTCAGAGTCCTTTAGAGCGAGTTAACGTAACATCTTCAGAATGATCGCTTGCAAACAACTCTACAAAATTTATCAATTGGATAATGAAACTGACAGTTCCCAAATTAGACAATTACACTGCAACCCTCATGAAAACGTTACTTATGGATTTAAATTTTGATCATTATTTCTCGAGCCCTGCTAGAAAACTCGGTTATTTACCTCTGGAAAATTTTAAAGTGTTTTTCGCATGGATTTCTAACTCTAATTACTTTTTTTAATTCCTGTCCACGTTTGAATGAGCGATTCTGTTTCTTAGAATAAGGATTTGCACCTAGTGTTGAATAGACAGACATAGCGTGGTGACAGAGCATAATTTAGATTACAGCTGATAAACAGGGTGAAAAAGGTGATTATCATGGGTTTTCTTCCGCTGATATACATACCACTCAGCTTCAAAGTTTTGCAAATCGAGACGTGACGGTTAAGGGAAAAAATTTTGACGTTATTCGTTTAACCCTTGACATGTCAACATCAGTATCTATATTCTCCACACCCTCCTCTACACATTTGCTTCGGTGCTGACAAGGAGTGTTTGGTTATCAACTAAAGCTTCTTGGGTTAGTGATCATTCCTTTTATTTCCCTGACCTCACTGAATGATTCAGCATGATCACTGTAAGGAGAAATAAGATGTTCGTCACTCTCAGGGTTTAAGGGATTAATGAGAGTGACATAAGTTTGTTTTAATATACGTCACCTAAACCGTGTTTTTCAGTCTTAATTTTCTTCATAAAGCCTTAATCAAGAAGCGATAATGCCAAAAAGCTTATAGAACTTTAACGTAGTCGCGCTAATCTTTGGAACACGTCATACTCCAGTGTAGTTTCCGGTTCGAAACGGAAGCAAACATCCCGGAAGTTGACTGGTGCGGAAAGCACGTAGCGCTGGAATCCTGAAACCCTTCTAAAACAAATCTACTTCGTGATAAACCATGGGGATAACAAATTATAATTACTACAATCCCCTGTGGTCTACATTCCTACACGTATCTTGAGTATTTTTGAAAGCCGGATAAGAAAGCTTTTTGTCTCATTTTCGGCTTAGAATATAATCCCAAGAGTAAACCACCTCTTAGTTATCAGAAGTATATTGTGTAAGTCGTTAAGATTCTTTGGCAGAACATACAAATGTTGTTGTTGTCGTTGTTGTTGTTTTTTTTTCATTTCGAGTTAGATAGCTTTTTATTAGCGTTTTGGTAAAGTTTCCGCACAGCCCCATACTATTGTAAAACAAATCTGTTTTCCCAATGGAAATGTATTGTTTTTGTCATTGTTTTCTCTATTAAAGAACTGAATGCATAATGTAGTATGGGGCTGTGCGGAAATTTTACCAGCGTTTTTTTCTAAGTTCAAGAACTACGTGAGGAAGTTACTTCTCGTTATTTTAATCATTTAGTTTTTTTTTCTCTTCTGGGTCAACGAAATTCCCTTTATTGTAAGGAAACGATAGGACAATTATTGGTACACGGACATTGTAAGAGCTGAGACGAAACCAAAGATTTAAGATTTTGAAAGAGCAAGATGCATTAAATGTGGCATAAACCATAAACCATAAACCTATGAACCAAACAACAGGAAAAAGAAATATGTAAAATACCTTACCCGAGTTTCCGCGTTGACGCACGCAGTGAGTTGGAAGTTGATTTCATACTGATAGGTAAAACAAATCAGCGATTTACCCAGATATGTAGCAAAACGCAAAATGTCAGTCTCCATCAAATGTTTGCAAGAAATTAAAAAGTAACGATTAGATAAACTTGCGTTTCAAGAGAATCTAAGCGTTACCGGGTATTTCAGTGACGCTCGCAAAAATGTCTCTTGAGAGCATTTAACGATGCGGTCGACCTGCTCTCATTTTACACGGTTAAGAAATTTTGTCGAGTGAGTTTCTTAAACTGTTCTGTGAGGGCGGCGCTGTACGCATGTGACAGGCCTTTCAAAGTTTTATGAAACATTCATCAGTACATATGTAGGACAAGTAATGTGATTCTCTACCACCAGGCAACTGAATTAAGATAACAAAAACGAAACGATAATCAACTACGCCTCATTTTTCACTTCAAAGAATTGTATCTCCTAAAGATGCCCTATAGCTTGTTGTAAATTACTCTCATTTTTAATAATTTCTCTAGATACACTGAATGGAGTCTGGTCACCACTCAACATTCCGCCAAAGTTTCAAGTATATTATCAGTTATAGAGACCCTTTTTTAGATGGATCTATTTGAATTGGTAATTAAGAAGTGAGAGTCATATCTCCTTACTGCTTCACTTATTCCCAGGCTGACTCCTTATTTTAAAAAGCTTTCAGGTGGAATCGCTTCCTATCATCTGTCAGCGAAACACATTGAAATGAACACCTTGAAGACCAAATAACCGTCTTCATTGAACTCTTTTCGGCGATCCGGATTAACTTACGAAACTGAGGCGCAAAAGGGCAAGGAAATGTGCTTGGTTCGTGGAAACTTGAACTACATCTGTGTTGCAATCTAATTTTCTCGCGATTGAAAGAGTACAAATCGTCTATCCAAGTCTTGAATGAACTGCACAAATGTTTACACCCTTTAATTCAAAGCATCTATGAACTGTTCAAAACACGCTTTTAAGATTACGTACGTCTCAGCTCTGATTATTTGTTCAAGAACTGTTTGAGTTACCTGGGTTGAAGTTTCCTACAGTGCGTAACGCTTCCAATTTCAGGTTTACCACGAACTTCTTCGAATCACGCTCTCACACGAATCTGCTCTTTTTCTCGAAATGTAAAACAGCTTTCACTTTTTGGAGATTCTTTTCTTTGCGAGAAATCTTTCCCATCGATATCGGTAAGATCAAGTACCCTCGCTAATTCCAAGAAAATCCGCGTAACCTTTCAGTTTCTAAAACACCTCCAAATTCCGAGGAAATAAAGACTTCCGTTTACTCTGTGATTTTGCTGATTCTAGACGACGGAAAATTTTCAAGCATATTACCGAATTCAACCGAACATTAGCGAATGCAATATTTTGAATGAAAACGAATAGTTTTCATTTCAAAAACTGTCAATTCTGAGCTTTCGTTGGTGTCTTTATCCCAGGCGTAGTGTCCCTCATGCGGAAAATCAACTTAGTGCGTGCTCTGCTAACCGGAAATAGCAGCTGAAAAAGCTTTTCGATTGAGTCTCTTCAGTGAAACCAAAGTAACCGCAACGTTTATTCTTGAATAGCCAATAAGAGTTCAACTTAAATACTTGTTAACGGTCCTTTTGACTCTCTCACTCTTTGGGGCAACCATGGAAGAATTCTTTTTCATAATATCGATGTACTTTCAGAGCAAAACAGCAATGAGGCAAATAAATATTCCACTGGGGAATATCGTTCAATATTTCAAATGCTTACGACTCAGAACTGACATGATGGAGGGGGAAAAGGGGTTATTGCGTGATACGAGATCAAGTTTTTTGTTATTTTCAAGACCAGTGAAAATGCAAAATTTAAACCCCGTAAACTGTAAATTTTTTGCTTTTCGTGATACGCAAACCTTAACCTTAAACCCCTTGGAGTGACTGGCATCTAATTTCTCCTTACCATATCACCGCTGTACAATAATAAATAAAGAATAAAGGAGCTGATCACCGACTAAAGAAGCTCTCGATTGTTAGACAAATTCTCCATGTTGGCATCTTAAGAACGTTTAGAGAACAGTATGGAGAATACAATACTAATGTTAGGGTGTAAGGACCTCTTCTTTACCTCCCTCATGATAGGACGTGCTGTAGACAGTTAGAGGAAGTGATGTTGAGATATTACTGAACTGCGCTTACGATTCAATTCATTCAGTGCTTCTATGGAGATCACTGTCGTCCCAGAGTAGTTCTTGGAAAGAACTTTGTCTGGAGAAGGTTAACAGCAGCTATCACTTGTAGATTAGACGAATTTTTCCTATTTCTTCTTTCGATAAATAGTTGTCGAGCAAATTTGGATCACGACACTACGTCCAACAATAACAATAAAAAGAAACCAAAAAAACAAAACAAAATTGGATCTGTCCTAATATATTACCATTTATTCATTTTTTTGCAGCGTATCTAGTGACAAAAATGGTGTTATTAACTCTCAAACCGATTAACTTATAAGACTTTTGATGGTAAAAGCATTTTTTTCATGTTTCCATACATAAAAAGAATATCTCTCAGTCCTTGAGGACGGGTGAGTAGCTTGTTAGCAGGATTTCCCACATGTCATAGAAAGCTTAACTATCCGCCACTAACTTTCACAAATAGTTTTATTTTTGTACATATCTCCACGCTTCCGTTCTGAAGAAATTAGCCAAACGTACCTTACAAATAAATCATAACAGCATACCTGCATTTAGGAAATTTTGATTTAAAACTTATTAAGATATATGGTCAGTCTAAATCGTTGATTACGATTTGTCTGCTATGGTAACACATACTTATACCCAACAGACCGACAAAAAAAGCCGCAAGAGATCATGGACTGGAAGCATTCTTCCTACATTACAGGTACCTAGTGCGTTCTCTCTTAATGAGGAAGTCCACTATCAGTCGAATAATTTGCCTACGAATTTGTGAGTCTTTCTGTTTGTATCCTTTAGGTGGACAGCCAACGTCCACGTGTTAGACGTTTTCGGCATGTAATCGGCACCGACGAAGAGTCAGGTCGGCGAGTTCTCGGACTCTCTGAGACGTTCTGAGGTTACTGTGCAGATCTTGCAATAACTCGACACCACCTTCGTCGATGACCAGTTTACAGTATTTCACAGCTGAAATAGGATCAATTTATACAGATTTAACAAATACAAGACAAGGTAAAAAAAGTGAAAAAACAGAATCCCGAATAAAGACTTTATTCGTAGGCGTCTCTATATTGCTCTTTCTTTCAGCCTAATTCACTTTTACTAAACTATACTTGGAAAGTAAGAAGATTGTCACACAGAAGTTTAATGCACAGTTATTTACACAATCTGTAGAGTGACACAACGCTTTTAACTTACGGTCAACATTGCAGAGGTTAGCCAGCGCCCATGTGGCCCAGTAATGTATCTCAGGTGTATCACAGCCTGATATTAACTTTAATATTGGAGCAAAGGAACTGAAGAATGAAAGAAAAAAACAACAAAAAAATCAAGATCCGCTCGGGTATTTCTGGTGAGCGCCCCAACAAGTCTCCTATGGGGATCGTGCAGTCAATCGTCCGGATGAGAGTAGTTCTGAAAAAGACTGTTGTGCTGTCTCCTAGACAGTGACAGACGCTTTGACAACCTGAACTGAAGGTATCATCAGTGTCAAGTAAGAAATTGTTTGACAGCTGTAAGTCTGGTTTGTGAACAAAGCGATCTATCTCACCATCTCACCAAGATTGAAACTGACCAACGTCACTACAGTATTCCAGCCAATACCATTAAAGCAAAACTAAACAATCCGTTTTTACGGACCAGACTGAAAAACAACTATTCACTTGACTTTTATGACTACTCATGCCCGAACGGTCACATTACACGATCGAGTACATCTGTTGGGTAGCCTGTGGATCAGGCGTGCGGAGACGGGCGCGGAAATTGTGCAAAGGGAAACACGCGTACTTAACTGAAGAACGCCAAATAGAAAACATCGACATTTAGTTTTTTTACACCCTTTCTCTCACGTGAAACTCGTCCTTTTCACTCGCCTCGCACTCCGCGCGCCAGATAAGCGCAAAAAAATGTCTTCTATCCCGCACGCTAACTCATATGTTAATCATCTTACCGATAGCTCATTTGTCGTTGTGTTTCAATATCCCATTTATCCACCGTCTCCACCTGAAGAAAGAGCGATCGTAGCCAAGAAAGCGGTTACTAACGTGTGAAAACAATTCCAGAAACCATTAAGTAGACCTCAACATCAACATACCAATCTTCGCAGCGCTTGTGTACGAGACACAATTTGATTCGTCCACATGTTTACTCCATCAAAAGCCAGGTGACTTACTATCCCTCCAGCATTGTATGTCACCTCCAGTTCACCCTCAGTGAGCAACAATTCGCTAACAGGAACAAGTTCATTAAAAAAATTAAAAAGATTCTCTGTGTGCGAGGCTCGTGCGCGATACGATCAAGCTAAGAGAATTAATACTCTCAAGGCCTTAGTCTTAAGTTATCACTTGAGAAGTACATTTTTAGAGTGTTTTTCGAAGGATTTGCGCAAAACCATAGTAATCACGAAGGACAATTCGAACAACGGAAAATATTCCGGGGAAGCAAAGTGAACTCAAGAAAACAAGCCAGCTGTCATAGCACAGAAATTCCGGCGCGAATAACCAAGTCGCGATTTGCGCGACTGGATTTATGACACTAAGGAGAGGAGAAAACCAAAATTAATCGCAGATTACTTTAAGTAGTAACCAACTAAGTGTTTTTTAATCCGCTGACACTTCACTTTTACTGCAATCATATTAGCAGAATTCTTTGGCATAAGTTGACACTATGTATGCTTCAACTCTAAGGAAATGTAGCGATAAGCTAAACTTACAAGAAAACATGAACAATTGGCATCAGTTCTGGTCGTAGTTCAGCCACCTCTGCCACGTTACCCTGACAAGGACAAAATCACAGAAAGAAAGAGGTTCTAAATGTGACTGGAAATAACAGCGGTCTCACTAGTTTTCTTTACAACCAGCACGCAATAGTCACAAAAAAGTTCTACAGGGCCCAGTGGATAAGAATTACCCTAAAGAAAACTTCTGATACTACGATTCCAAAGACAGGTGGACTGCATCTTGCAACATTTACGAGACGCAAAATAATCCAAAATCAATCCCAATTTTCCAGCTCCTATTAATTTCATTTTAAGTCACGTGGGAGAGTTTAGTGTTATATCGAGAAGACACCCTCTAACTGATAAGTTTGTTTCTTCTTGTCGCCTGTTCGATGGATAATGCGCTGACATTGGCATGAGAAGTTGATGCCGATCACTTCTAAGAGGACAGTGGAAAAGTTGTGTAACTCACCATCAGTCCTAACATGTTCCGAACCAGATCTCGTCGTTCGCTCATTCTCTATCAAAAAAGGAACAAAATGAGGAAAAAATATCTTATTGATGATGATGATGATGATGATAGTGACAATGATGATAAAAATAAACATCGAGATTATCAAAATACGAGAGCTACAGAAGATCACTTTTTATAGGAACTTTCAGAGAACAGAAAATCAAAGGACTTCCCCCCGGTGCACTTCCACCAAGCTGCACACACCGTCAAGGACACCATTTCGTGGCACATCGCCTTGGATCTAAGGACTGGGAATCCTCACGCCATTTTCTCTAGTTTTAAAGGAATTCTAAGATACGAAAATCCTACCTCGTGACATCTCGTGAATAGTTCTAGTCCTCCTTGAGCTATAAACAGTGCGCAGTTTTCAGGCGTTTCATCTAAGTAAAGGACAACAGAACTTCATTCTATTAACTTGTTATGTAACTACTACTACGTCAATATCGAACGCCAGAGTTCCTACTCATGACCAGCGTTTGTTTCTAAGATGACTACATCACCTCTCACCAGAGTAGGTAGATATTAATGTGAGCGGCAGTGGAGCTGAATCTGGGAATTACAGGATTTTTTCTAAACTCACTCTACGAGTTGTTTATCATAAAGGAAATACAATTTTCAATAATTAATTTACCCGTCATGTTCCACAAAGCACTCCAACAGCCTTCCATAACGCCACCGTGTTCCTACACAAGAGTTGTTTAGTTTATTAGTCACACCAGCTGAAGCTGTATGTTCATGAAATTGCGAGGCAACCACTACGCAGAATTACACCCTGTCTGATAAAATTAAATGAAAGAAGACTCTCCACAAGTTGCCAATTGTTAGCAATAGATATAAGAAAAGCGGAAATATAGAGGAGCAGGAAATAACTACCGGGTTGTTTCCCATCTTGCATCGTATAATTTGAAGAATTTTCTGCAAGAAAAACATACGTTTGTTTAATGAGAAAATCCTAAATTTATAAGATGATACGAGACTTCAAAAGACACTATTTTTCAGCTTTGTTTTTTTTTTCGCTATGAATCTCTCGTCGTGATTGGCCGTTGCATGATTATGTACAAGAGTTTTGACCGACCCCCTCCCCTCCTAGTTCGTGACGCTTGCGAGTACTACCAAATAAGGTAATGAACACAGGCGAGCAAATTCAGACAACCGGATGCGACGAAAATAGCAAGTGTTCAAAGAATTATAAGTCGTCTGAGTTATTTTCCGGAAAATAAACAAGAAAACGATGAAGAATCCGTGAGTCCTGTGTACCGTTGTGAAGAATGGCTCAATTATTTTGGGTTGGTTTCACAGTTAATAGTTAGTGACTACACCAAATTGAAAAGCACTCTTAAAGGTGACCCTAGTGGAACTGTATCTTACATATGCAGATTGGATTTTAAAAAATCTTAATATCATAACATAGTCAGGCAAGCTCAAATAAAGGACGTTGACTTAAATCGGAGCCTGCTCTAAATATGACTGATATAATATTTCGCTTTTAGTATCATAATGTTACCTCCACGCCCTTCAATTCTCTGCCCACAACAATTTTTGGTGAATCTTGAATCTAAATAAATTGCAGTAAAACAAAAAACATTACCATCTTCATGTAAGATATAACCACTCATCAGGTCATAAGGCCTGAGAGACAGCCAGACTACATGAGAAGACTCATGGGATATTGCCAACTTTTTCTACAATCTTCAACCCTTCCACTCCTAGGATCTCAACTAGGAATTAGGAAATTATAAAACAAGAGGGAAAAAGATTGAAAAAAATATTTCTACTTTTAATGCTATCCTGCCTCTGTGATGATAAGTTGATGTTCAAGTATTTTTTGTGTTTTATTTTTTTTTTACCAAGAATGCAATTACCATCATAACTACTAACTAAAGTCAACAATCTTTAGAAGATTTGTTGGGATATTCTGTTCTCAATCATGTTAATCTTACCTTCCCTATCCCTACTTCTGATGCTGTCTTTAAAAATAAAAAAATAGAGTTTGTTTAGATTGCACTCTGTATCCAGATTGCTGCAATGATTGCACAGTCATAGATATCAAATAACCATTACCTGACACACCACCATATTACAAATTCCAATGGCAATCCTCTGAATGAGGTCACGCCTATGTATCGTGGCAGTCCTCAATAAAACTTCCACCATTTTTCTGTAGTCAGAAGGCTGCAAGTAAGCAAAATTAATTTTGAAATACAAATGAGGGTAAAAAAAATTTCCTGTGAAATACCTGAGTAATACTCATTTGTTGGTTGGTTTGTTTGGCAGGTAATGAATCACACTGCAAAATCAGCAAAACTTTGTAGAATATAGGAAACATAAAATTTTGATTAGAGTCTTTGTACAAATGAAACCCCATAAGCAGTTTTTGGTACTCAAACAGGGGTTGGCTTACTTCTAAGTGGCTTCCATAAGTGAGGAAAATAAAGGGTCAAAGAGGCAATTCACATAAGACTTCACCCTAACAACATCAACAGGGATAGTGGAATAGAAATTCCAGAAGTGTGGATGCCCACAATCAAAAAACATGACAATTTTGATTAGAGTCTTTGCACAAATGAAACCTCATAGGCAGTTTTTGGTACTCAAACAGGGGTTGGCTTACTTCTAAGGGGCTTCCATAAGTGAGGAAAATAAAGGGTCAAAGAGGCAATTCACTTAAGACTTCACCCTAACAACATCAACAGGGATAGTGGAATAGAAATTCCAGAAGCGTGGATGCCCACGATCAAAAAACACAACAACAGGAGAGCTGTGCAACAGCAGACTGCTGAGGGAGCAAATCCCTGATCAGCAAGGATCAAAATGCACCTATTAGAGCTGTTGAATAACAACGAATCACAACAGAGCATCAAGCTTTATAAGATCATGCATGACAAGTCGACCTCATCACCTGAAGAAGACTAGCAGTATGCAGTTGAAATGTTGCGATCTAATCACACGTGACTACATCGTGAGACAAATGAAAAAACTTAGCTTTTATTGTTATTCACCACAATGAATATCCACAACCTTTTCTACAAAATTAAGTGAGGAAAACTTTCCAAAAGGTACCAAGAAAACAGTACAGACCCTGCTAAGGCTTGAGACAGGACCTCTCAATCTGGGGTCAAGTATGCTAACCACTGACCTATCCATGTTAACTTCTTTAACGGTAAACATGCCAATGCATCTCAATACTGGGTACAATTTGCAAAGCAAGAAAACTAGAGCATCAATATGAAATTCATCTAGAGCACAAATGTTTGTTTGGATAATACCATATATACTCACCAGATCATTTGGAATTCTGAAGTTGCAAAGAGTGAGACAACAGTTTTTCTGCAACTGAAAAAAAATTTCACACCCATGAATCTCTGGACATTGATAAAAGCATATTTCAACACAGGTTACACTGTAATTGTCACACTCAGATTGTGTTTGTAAATAATACCTGCTCCTCCTTGACATGATAATCCATTGCGCCAATAATCACCTCAATGATACGGCTGAGAAAAATAGTCAATACGTAATAAATATAGTCTTATTTGTTATGAAAAATGTTACAGTCATGCAGAAAAAACAAAGAAAAAAGGATGAAATTAAGATAGTTGAAGAGTGTATATCAGTTAATCCATTTGCTACAATTCACGGTAATGGGAACTTTTTGATTATAAAACATACAGACACCTAACAATCTATCCCATTAAGCAAGTCTATTTTAATTCTTACAAGATGAATGAAATCAGATGCATCTATGCTACAATAGTGAAGAATGCAGTCACCTCTTTAACTCCTCAGATAGATTCATGTTTCCATCATCATCTCTGGACAGATGATACAAAGATGCACTACAAACAATGAAAGGATCAAACAAAAGAGTCAATTAATGACCAATATGAAAATTTTTTTTTAAATAAAATTAAGATTTTCTTCACCTAACTAAACAATTAATTATTTGGTGCAAAAAATATTTCCACAAGTTTTACACTAACTTTGGATCCCATCATACAAAAGGATTGCAAAAAAATTACATGACTATATGTATCTGGCTTGCTTATTACCTCCCAGCAAGTTGAACAAGTTTATCTTTTGGGTGACTCTCCATGGCACCCAACACAACCTGTACAAATGCAAAGATATAAAAGATATGATGGTTCAAAAAGGAATTAAAAGACAGTTCACCTAAAAATTCTGAGACAGTTCACCAGCACGGTCCAAATTTCATGTCTCATAATGGATCTACTTCACATGTACCTGCACAGCACAGTTTATACATTCCCCCAGTATAAGTCTTGTTAAGCATTAGGATCCCATTTTCATCCTCTAATCCTTGACTTTCCGTTCATTTACTTGGATTTTTGTCATGTAAACTTATTTCTCTACCATTA